GCATGGGGGGTCGCTATGAGTCGGTTCTGACTCGATGGCACCAGACAACAACAACAACATCCTAGTATGGTGCTGTGGGCTGATGTGTCAGACTGCAAAGTCGTTTGAACTGCAAGGTTGGTGGTTCAAGCTCACTAGCTGCTCCTTGGAAACCCTATACAGGGTCGCTATGGGTCAGAATCAACTTGACAGCACTTAACAACAACAATAACACACAGAAATCCTTGTGTGGCGTAGTGGGCGAATGCGCCAGACTGCAAAGTCAGTGTGAACTGCAAGGTTGGTGGTTCAAGCTCACCAGCTGCTCCTTGGAAACCCTACACAGGGTCGCTATGAGTCGAAATCGAGTCTATGGTAACCATAATAATAACAAACAACAATAAATAGAGACTTTTGGCTTTTTGCCTTGGTTCTTTAGAAAAACAGCTTAAGACATTTTTCTCATAAGCCCTGAGGAGTTAGCTTTGCCCTAGGTCTCCGCCACAGAGGGTTTGTGGCTTTTGTCCAGATTGATTGACATTTCCTGCATAAATGATAACCACTTCATTTACACACTTTTTTCCTAGTCCTAGACTGTAGGCTGCCCTCTGATTGGTATGCACCTTGCAAAAATTGGTCAGTAAAGTATGCAAATGAGGGGACTAAGTGAAGTGTCTGTGACCTCCCAAGAGAAGACTGGTCAGTTTGTGGTCTCCCCTGCTGAGAGAAGTCATGTCTTGAAAATGACAAGGAGTTGTGCATAAATGCAGCCAACCCAACAGAGGTTTCTCAGTCAGAAAGAAACAAGAGAAACAGGAGGACAGAAGCAAAAGGAAAAAAGAAGAGAGAAGAGAAAAACAGCAGAAATTCCACTCGCACAGAAATCACTTTTAGTGAATATGTGCATTTGCTAGACTATCTCATCTTGGACGGTAATACAGCATGAACACTGTTTAATTCTGAAGATAGATTATGAAGGTTACTCAAAAGATTTATAATATAACTGATTGAAGTTTTTTGCTTGTTAGCATTGTAGTTTTGCTTCCTGGACACAAAACCCTGCTTAATTAATAAAATATCCTAAATCTCATATACCAAAGCACTTCTTACAGCAGTATGCCTTAAGAAAATAAAAGAGGAATATGGTGAAATGCCTGCCTACTCCCAGTTTCCCTTGCAGAGAGACAGCTGTTTTGACTCATGAAAGCACAATCCCATTCATCAGCTGGGGCAAGGGAATACAAACATTGAGAGAAGGTGGAAGATGGTGTAATGATAAATTAAATGGAAGAATCTAGGGACTTAGAATGAAAGCCAGGAATACCTAGGCAAATTATTTAATTCTCCAATTCTCATTTCCTCTGTCTGTGAATTTGAGATATTAGTATCTACATCAAGAGTTGTTGTTGTTAAGTGCTGTCCTTGGAAACTCATAGCGACCCTGTAGAGGGTTTCCGAGGAGTGGCTGGTGAGCTTGAACCACCAACCTTACAGTTCAAATGGCTTTTCAGTTGTAATAAGGAATAAATAAAATAATGCAAGTAAAGAACAGGAAAAATCTAGACCAGAATGGCAGCAAAAAATATTGGTATGTTTTCTTTAAAAACTGAAGTATACTTTTTCCATTATAAAAATAAATTATAAGAATATACAACCAAAAAAAAAAAAAAATCAAATTTCTTACTTTATCAACGTTGGACGATGAGGTGGTACCTTTTTTGCAACACTTCTTTTTTCCACAAGATTCTTTGTTGGACATTTTTAAAAGCTAAAATAAAAAATAAAAATACATTATAACTTATCCTTTTTCATTTGTATGAATATTAGCATTTTTCTACATGATTTCCAGTTTCTAAGTGTTTGAGTTCTTTATGCTACTTCCCCAATCCTTTGGCTCATTAAATCACCAATGTGGTCATACTTAGTTAGATAACTTGAGGAATGTACTGGGAGAGGCAGTTTGCCCTCAGGAAGACTAGATTAACTAGTACAAAAAAAATGCTTAAGCAAAGCACTAGGGAACTTTCCTGGGCTGATCTTTCTTAAAACAAACAAGGCATGTAGATAACAAGCAATTACTACTTTTCTTTCTTGTTGTTGTTGTTTTTATGTGCCCTGGAGTCAGTTCTGACTCATAGTGACCCTGTATAGGGTTTCCAAGGCTGTAAATCTTTACGGGAGCAGAATGTCTCGTCTTCTGCAGAACAGCTGGTAGTTTTGAACTGCTGGTCTTAAGGTTCGCAGTCCAATTTGTAACCACTATGCTACCAGAGCTCCTTGATATTGGGTAAATAATGAGATTTGTTGGTCTAGTAAAGAGTCTCCTGAAAACTTGTACCAACAATTATTTGAGAAACAATCACATTTTAAAAAATCTATCTACAAAAGTGAAGCTCTTATTAAACTCTAAATAGTATGTAGATAGCTCACCAGCAGCTCCTCAGAAACCCTATACAGGGTCGCTAAAGGAGCTCTGGTAGCATAGTGGTTACGAATTGGGCTGCGAACCTTAAGACCAGCAGTTCAAAACTACCAGCTGTTCTGCAAGAGAAAAATGAGGCTTTCTGCTCCCGTAAAGATTTACATCCTTGGAAACCCTATACAGGGTCACTATGAGTCAGAACTGACTCCGTGGCACATAATCAGCCTAGGTCAGAACAAACTCCAAGCATTTAACAACAACAATTGTCATTAACAGGTTCAAGCTAGTGTGCACCAGCAGCATTCTGTTCTGTAACAGAGGCCATAAATTGGGATCATCACCAGTTCCGTTGTTGGGGAGGAAAATGGAAAAGTCTAAACTAGAATCTAGTGCTAGCAATGACATGTATTGGGTTTATGAACATAACAGAATAGGAAAAAAACAATTTAAATTATGCTGAGTTCAATCATAGTTAAAACAAGTGAAATTATATGAAAGAATGTTCAATTTATATTAAACCAAACTTTTAGAATGCTTTGATAAATATGAAAATGTTGAGTGCGAACAGAAAATCTAATAATAAAAATAAGCTTTTCAACATAGACTTCTAAGTACAGATTCTAATTTGTAAGACAATGTATGGCAGTAAATGAATTCCAGATAACATTAGTAATCTTTCTGTGCACGCCCCCCGCCCCTAAATTACTATTTAATCTTTTAAGAAAAACGAAAAGCAATGGTTCTTGGATGATGGGCAGTTAAGTCACTATACATTCCTATAAGTTATCAGTGTTATTATCCCATTTTTAAATGACTGTTAAACAGTGAGTCAGCTATACATCTAGAAGTAGTAGTTTAAGTGACTGTTAAACAATGAGTCAGCTATATATCTAGAAATAGTCGTTTAAAGGGGAGCAGGGAGAGTTTCTAAAGGAGCTGCTGGAGAGTTCGAACCACCGACTTTGTGGTTCAAACCGACCTTGCAGTTCTGCGTTTTATCCCAAAGCGCCACACCAGTATTCCAAAACGAACTTTAGAACACACATCCCGAGTTCCGTACCTTATCAGCGCTGGCAGCAGCTACGACTCCGGAGGCCCAGGCCACAACTAATGAACAATCCCCTCCCAGCCCAATACCCTCTGGGAAACGTAGTTTTGTGCTATGATCCAGCTAGACCCCAGAACACTCAGGAGCCTTTATTTTGACTTTCATTTACTTCCTCCTAGACTTCTGGCAGTGTTTCCTTCGGCATCTAACAACAACAACAGACTTCGAAATCCGGTCCCGCCCCAGGGGACTTTGTGCACCCTGGGTATTGTAGTTTTGGCCAGATTCTGTGGTTGACGGGTGGAACCGAGGCGCACAGTAGAAACGGAACTCTCTTACCTCATTGGACGCCGTCCCGGATACGCTTCTGCGCAGTCTGTGGCGGCGTCGTAACGCCTCGGGGAAGGGTAATATACGAGAACTCGAATCCCTGCCTCTGGGTTTTTATTTTTCTGAAGACAGGATTTAGTCACTGTTCCTTTTTTTTTCTTTGTCTGGTGCACGCATCCCGATCCCCGCCCCGCATTTATTTTCCCACACCTTGGATCGAGCCCTCTGGGCATCCACGCCAATTCAGTCACCCCGCCGTGAGCCCCCTCCTGGTCCCGGGCGGGCCTAGCACGGAGGCGGTAACTATGGAGAATATGGCGGAGGAGGAACTGCTACCCCTGGAGAAAGAGGAGGTAGAGGTGGCCCAGGTCCAGGTCCCGACCTCGGCTCAGGATTCGGCTCGGGTCACAGCTCCGGACTCGGCCTCGGCCCCAGCTCCGGCTCCGGCTCCAGCCTCGGCTCCAGCCCCAGCCCTGGCCCAGGCTCCGGCCCTGTCCCCATCCCTACCCTCTGCCCCTGAGGAGGCTCAAAGCAGTAAGTGCAGGGTGCCAAATCAAGTCTCTGTCGCAAGATAAGCGAGAAAGTGCGCCTTGCAGGGGAATAAGGGTGGCCCATTATTACCGGGATGGTTTTCTGTGGGGAAAAGCAGATTTAGGGAAAGCGGTGGGCGGGGGCCGTGTGTCGGATAAAACTAACAGGATGGTAATAAGCAAATCCGTGCAGCTCGAGAACATCACTTTAGTAAAGGATGTGTGAAAGCCAGGGGTTTAACAAATAGAAGGAAATTATGAGGTTGCGGGCTTCTCGTTTAGGATGGCTTTTCCTTAAACAAAATATAGGAAGATTACACATAATCTGATAGTTTTCCTCCCAGCCCAGTCGGCCTGGGTTCACCAAATCCTTTTAAAGATGAGACGGTAAGCGAGGCAACGTGCTTATAGTAGTAGATCCTAACTGCCAAGATTTAGAAATCATTGCTGCCAATTAACTTTATGACTCCACGTACACAGAGAGGATTATTTTCATTTATAGCAGTTTACTTCCAAAAAAAATTGAAGGTTGATGAGTAGTTTTAAAAAGAGTAGACTAAGTTATATATTTTCCCGCACACCTAAATACCAGTTGAGTTTTGTAATTCATTCAGTAAGAAGTCCGATGTTGAAATCAGTAGCCCACATTGTGCTTCTAAATTTGTTCACATGTTTTCCTAAGTGGTGATTTATTGGACCATGTAGATATTTAAAAGATTATTGAATAACACTGTCTTGAGGAGCACTGGTTAGCGTAGTGGTTACGAACTGAGCTGCTATCTTCAAGGTCGGCATTTCGAAACTACCAGCTGTTCCGCAGGAGAAAGGTAAGGCTTTCAGCTTCTATAAAGATTTACAGCCTGGGAAACCCTGTGCGGGGTCAAACCAACTCCACAGTACATAACAACAAAGGATCTTCTGAGCATTCTAAAATGTAAGGTCTAAGAATTAACCAGAAGGGCTTTTGTTTGTTTCTGTTTTTAGTCTGGTGGTCCTTAAACTGACCTTTGTTCACTTTCTGAATTGTAGTTTAAATTAATTCATTGTTTTTTTCTGCTTCTAAGCCAGTTCTGAGTTTGGTTGGTTGCTTATGTGCTGTGGAGTCTCTTCCGACTCATAGCGACCCTATACAGGGTTTCCGAGGCTGTAAATCTTTACGGGAACAGAAAGCCTCATCTTTCTCCCTTGGAACAGCTGGTAGTTTCGAACTGCTGACCTTGAGGTTCACAGCCCAATTCGTAACCACTAGGTTACCAGAGCTCCTTAGTTCTGAGTTTAATGTGTATAAAATAATTGTGTTGTTGTTGTTGTTAAGTGCTGTCCAATTGGTTTTGACTCACAGTGACCCTGTATGGAGTCCCTGTGTGGCGCTGTGGGATAATGCACTGGACCACAAGGTCAGTTTGAACTGCAAGGTCGACCATTCAAATTCGCTGGCTGCTTCTCAGAAACCCTAGGCAGGGTCACTATGTTGTTGTTGTTGTTGTTAAGTGCCGTTGAGTCGGTTCCGACCCATAGAGACCCTGTACAGGGTTTCCGAGGGTGTAAATCTTTATGGGAGTAGAAAGCCTCATCTTTCTCCCGCAGAGCGGCTGGTAGTTTCGAACCGCTGACCTTAATGTTCGCAGCCCGATTCCTAACCACTAGGCCACCAGAGCTCCTATATACAAGGGTCACTATGAGTGGGAACCAATTCGACAGCACTTAAACAACAAAATAGGGTTTCCAGGAGTAGCTGGTGAGTTTGAACCACTGATCTTGCAGTCTAGTGCTTATCCTACACTGCCACACCAGGACTCCATAAAATAAAATTCTACATGCTAACTTTCCTTTTCCTGTGCTCACTCTGCAGGGATCACTCAGCCCTACTGGGATCACTCTAAATCAGAATAGACTCCAAGGCACTTAACAGCTACATCAGTTTAAGGTTTCCAAGGAGCAGCTGGTTGGCAGTCCAGTGGTGACCCTATAGCGCCACCCCAGGAGTTACGTTGTTGTTGTTGTTAAGTGCTGTAGAGTTGATTCAGGCTAAGAGTGTTCCCTGTGTAGGATTTCAAAGAAGTGGTTGGTGAGTTTGAACCCCAGGAGTTATAGTAGATATTAAAGTAGGGCTGAACATAGGAAAAAGAAAGTCAGCATGCCTCAAGCAGAACTTTACTCATTATATGAGAATTTGTGCTAGAAAAAGCTAGTCGCTTCTTGATATTTACAGTGGGAGCAGAGGTATGCATGAACACACTCCCCTGACTAGGCAGCCTTTGCACCTCAGTTCCAGATTGTATATGTTCATATTAATCATAAGTGAGTTCATCAATTTTAGGGAATACATGCTTCTTCCTCCACCCCAATCCCTGCCTTTAAGATCATGTTAAACATAGTTTGGAAAGGTTTATCCATATATTGCAAATATCCTAAGTGTGTAATTTGTGGAATGTGTAAATGAGAAACCTGAAGATGCATTATTAAATGAATACATAGTGATTGAAAAGTCTGATATGCATTAGAACCAAAATATTTATTAATCACACTTTTAAATTATTTGTAGATGGTATAATTAGCCCTTTGAGATCGATCAGAACTATGCAAGATGAAAATGGCATATCTGAAATAGAATTGAAAATTGAGGAAAAAGTAACAGAAGAAGCTATAAAAGAACCTTCTAGCATCTTGGATTCATCTGATTTAGCAAGAGGTTTGCCTGCTAACTTCTAGATTATTAGTGTTACAAAAAGCTTAAGTGATTTAAATACAGATTGTCTTATCTACTATCTTAAGCCAGAAAGTGATTTTGAATGTTTTAGACAGATGTTGGAGATTTTTATCAATATGATTTTCAGTTTTCTCTTCTAACTAATCAAACCTTTGTCTTATTTAGTGGTATTTGATATAATGATTTTAAATAAGCAAATACGTATGTAGTGGTAAAATGGGTATCTTGTTTCACATAGGCATATCTTGAACTATAGGAAGCCAAATAGTCTTTTTAGTTTATTAAGTTGTGTTGATTTCTGTATACAAGGATTAATTGCCTGAATCTGTCTCAGTTAGCAATAAAAGGTATTTTGATCAAATAGGCAAGAATTTAGTTTGTTCAGAAATGATATACCATCATGTCATTTCAATAATACCTAGTATGAGAAGTTGACCACCCATAAATGCCTTGGAAGGAAAGCCTGGTGATTTACTTCCAAAAAAAAACTTCAATTGAAATTACTATGGAGATTATACTCTGACAAATATGAGAATATGAGGTAGCTAGCTATGAGTTGGAATCAACGGCAGCTGGTTTAATGTGCTAAGGGACATAACCTAATAATAGCTTGATGGTTTGTGTGATCTACTGCAGTCTCCTTGGGAATAATTTCCTATAAGTTACCATGCAGGGTCTCTATGAGTCAGAACCAACTCAGTGGCACTTAATAACAGCAAACAACTCTTGTCTTTATTCTCTCACTTTTTATATCTTCCTTTGGGATGTACATCCTTTCAAGGCTTGCCATCCTTAAAAAGAAAGAAAAGGGAAGGTATGATTCCATCTTTTTTTAATATTGCAAAATTTCTTGAAATAGTAATCTACACTGATTTTCTGTACTTCCTTTTTCCTTTCAGTCCCATTTCTACTTCCATACACATCATTGCTTTCTTGCATGTTGCCAGGGACCTGGTAAATTTCAGTACAGTAGTCTACAAATAGGGCTGCTAACCTCAAAGTCGGCAGTTCAAAAGTACCAGCTGTTCCGTGGGAGAAAGATGAGGCTTTCTGTTCCCGTAAAGATTTACAGCCTCAGAAACCCTGTACAGGGTCACTATGAGTCAGAACCAACTCCACAGTACTTAATAACAACAACAACAGTGTTTCCTCCATTGCTACAACTATTTGTAATTCTTCACAATCTTATACACCTTCCCACTTACAGACTTTTCCCTTGACTTCTGCATTATCTTGAGTCCACCTTCTTGAATCTTTTTCCTTTACATATTGTATAATATCCATATCCTTCATTTCTGTATTCTATTAATAAAGAAGTGCGTTTAGCAGCATTATGGAATACATTCACCCCAGTCAAGAATCTATCATAAATAGACAAAACTGAGTCTTGGTTTTTTTCCTTTTCATTTTTTTCTTGGACTTCCATATTCATTCTCATTGTTTCAGTAGGCATGTATGTATTCATGATTTATATTTCCATTCTGAATCTCTCCTGTGCTCCAAAAACAAATGATCAGTTGCCTACTGGGTATGGTTGTTGTTAAGTGTCAAGTCAGCTCCAACTCACAGAAACCCTGTGTATAACAAAACAAAACACTGTCTGATCCTCTTAATTGTGGGCACTGGACCCCATGGTTGGTTTGAACCATAAGGTTGGTGATTCAAACTCACCAGCTGCTCCTTGGAAATGCTTTACAGTGTTGAGTCGAAACCGACTGGACAGCACTTAACAACAGTGATTAGCCCATTGTTGCAGCCATTATGTCAGTTCATCTTGTTGAGGATCTTCCTATTTCTTGCTGACCCCCTTCTTTATCAAGCATGATGTTTGTCTCCAGTAATTGGGCTTCCAGATGACATGTCCAAAGTAAGAGAGATAAAGTCTGAAGTCTCTCCATGCTCAGTTCTAAGGGGCATTCTGGCTGTATTTCCTCTAAAACAGATTTGTTCATTCTTACAGTCTATGTTGTTGTTGTTGTTAAGTGCCATTGAGTCGATTCCGACCCATAGCGACCCTATACAGGGTTTCCAAAGAGCAACTGGTGAGCTTGAACCGCCGATCTTGCAGTTCAAACAGCTTTGCAGTCTGGCGCATTAACCCACAGCACCACACCAGGACTCCGTGTTTCAGACCATAGTATGTATATTCAATATTGTTGACCAATACCACAATTTGAATACATCAGTTCTTTTTCAGTCTTTCTTTTTCTTTGACCAGCTTTTGCATGCACATAAGCCAATTGAAAATTGGTTTTCAGTCGACCCATGGTTTGGGCCAGGAGCACCCTAGCACTCAAATGACATCTTTGCTTTTTAACATTTCAGAGAGCTCTTTGAGTTAGCATAGTAACTCTGTACAATAAACACTGGACTGTGAACTACAAGGTTGACAATTTGAGCCCACCGGTCGCCCTATTGGAGAAAAATGAGGCTTTCTAAGTGCTTGCAAAGATTGACAGCCTCCAAAACCCTGTACAGGGTTACTTTGAGTCATTCATTATTGACCACACTTAATAGCAACAACAACAACAGCACGTGAACACTCTACTAGTTCATCAAACATATGGTCCAACTAAATTCATTTTCTTTTCACTTCTTCCTGTCTTCCAAGTGTTTTCCTCCTCTTTCATTTGTTCCTTCATTCTCAACAATAAACTCAAAATCTTACAATTATTTTATTTTTGTCTCCACAATTACGGAGTTTATTAGGGAAGTGAACTGTACAATTCAGGATCAGAAACAACTAAGGATGCAGTTGTTCTCCAGCCAGGAACAGCTCTTCTTTGTTGTACTGCAGGCACCTCTCCCTCTTATCTATGTCCTCTCAGCCATGTGGCTCCTCAAGCTGTGCACTGCTCATGCAAGTGTTTCAGAGTTCCTTTAGCCAGTCTGTAAATGCCCAATGGGCACATTCTGCAAGCCAACCTTCCAGAATTCTATTTCTGACTTTACCCTTCACCCTTTTCAAACTCCAAGTCCTTTTGCTTTTTTGCCTTTACCGTCTGTTCTCCTGTACCTTTCCATTACTAATTCCTGACCTCTATAAGTCATCCTCCCACCACCGGATATCAGTTTGTCATTGTGTGGTGATGTGTGTTGCTATATTGCAAGAAGGTATGCTCTGCTACTGAAATTTCAGATACCAGCAAGGTCACCCATGGTAGATGAGTTTCCATTAGACTGAGACAGGCTTGGAAGAAAGGCCTGGCAATCTGCTTCTGAAAATCAGCCAAGGAAATCCTGTGGATCACAACACAAAACAGCTCTAGAAGATGAGCCCTCAGAGGTTGGAAGGCACATAAAGTTCATAGTAATTGCAACAGTAGATTGAAATATAACATGGTTGTAAAGATAACTCAGAGCCAGGCAGTGTTCCATTCTGTTGTACATATGGTTGTCATCACCCAGAGCAACTAACAACAGCAGTGATTGCTGCTGACAGAGACACCATCCGGAAATCCATTCAAATTCTATCATTCACTTCCTCAGAAACCTGCAAAGACTTAACTATTGCCTCAGTAATAAAATCCAAACTAACTAATACAAGTTATACTTTTCATGGTCTGTACTTCATGTTTGGCAGCATATTTTTCTGTCTACTCCATCTTCCAAACAAATTATATTCCAGCCAGGAGTGGGATAGGGGGAGTTGTACTTTTACACCACTTGCCTTTATTCATGAGAGTACTTCTTTTAGTTTATAAGGCCCTGCCACTAAATTTCAACATGCTGAAATCTGTTTGTATCCTAAGTCTCAATCTAATGCTACTTCTTTTGTGAAAACATTCTTAGAGTCCCATGTCTGCATCATACCTTTACCTCTATTATTTATTTAATCCTGTTGTTGTTAGTGCCATCTAGTCAGTTAAAACTCATAGTGACCATGTACAGTTTCCCAGGAGCAGCTGGTAAGTTTGAACTGCCGACCTCTCAACTCAAACTGACCTTGAGGTCCGTCCACCACATTATCCACAGCACCACCCTAGGACCAAATTGATTTTAGTTTATAGTGATCTTGCCTTGTTTTTTTTTTTTTTTTTTTTTTTTTTTTTTTAAATGTTTTATTGTGAATTATATTGCTG